CCCCCCCCCCCCTCTCTAAGTTCATAGTTGGTCGGTGCATTTTGTGGACCAAACCCTATTTGTCTCTGTCATGCCACCATCACTTCGCTTTTTTAAAAATCATTATTTACCTCACATAGGGTACCCCTTACACGGACCCCTCCACCGTTCTTATCAAGTTTCTCCTCACCAAATTCAAAAATCCAGACCTCTAGTAAAGGGTGACGGAATTCTAATAAAAAATGAACAAAATGTATTGAGTATGCGTTCATGTGAAGCTCAATGTTTCCAAATTGAATAATCATTTCGATATAACAACAATTATGTACCCAATATATTTTTACAGTGTGAGGGTAATGTGCATGTAGACCTTAATTATCAGCTTACCCCTATCTTATAAAATCACAATACTCGGCAGGATGAAAAAGAAAAATAACAATGAAGAAGCCATGTTGAAATGAAGATAAGAATATTACAACAACAACAATAAAATAGCAGGGCACTAAAAAAATAACAGGTAATAATTAAAATCGAAGTAGAATAATTACTTAGATCCGTATTAAAAACTTTAAAATTGAATATACATATTTAAAATTTTGAGTCCACCTCGGATCCTGATCATACCCATTAGTTATGGTTCACATGGATGAGGATTATTGATGAGGTTTGAAACATTCCCACAAAAAGCACATCAGTGACAGCTAGGACTTGTAAGGAAAATAATCATGAATGGATATGCATGGACACATATGTACATTCGCATATTCCCCCTTATGGCCTTATCTTGTTCTATATGTAACAAAGGGCAAAAAAAAAAAATAAAAAAAAAATGCAAGGACAACCGAGGATATATCTCATATTCATGCAAGGTTTGGGTAAGGTTCGTACCTCAAGTGGATATGATGGAGGTAGCATGTCTTATTGCAAACATCAGTGGTTGATTCCACCACTCGAACCCATGACTTATAGATCACACAGAAACTAGAGGCGGATGCAAGGTATCAGTACTGGGTTTGACTGAATCCCGTACTTCTGGCATGGAGCGTAAATTTATGTGTAAAAATTCATTAATATTGCAATATATACCAATATGAACCCATAACTTTAAAATATAATGTGTTCAATGCTAAAAACTTCACAGGTTGAACCCATAAAACTTAAAAAGATTGTTACATAAATAGCCGGCCAGATTCAATGTTTACTTTTTATAGCCGGTATACATAGATTATATATTGATTATACATAGTTTATACATAAATTAGACATATATTATATATCCGCTGGCTATTTTTAGTTTAAGAGATTATGTGTGGTGCTATTTTAGTTAATTACTCGAACTTAAAATTCTAGATCCGTATCCGACGGAAATTAATAACTTTACCATTACTACAACTTCCCTTCACATGTAACAAGGGAGAAGGCTCTTAATGTATGCTACAGTGAAAATCTCATGAACTTCATTAATTAACTTTATATTAAAAATATTTCTGTACTCCTACTATATATATGTGACATAGAAAGGCTTCTTAGTCTCATCCCAAAGCAATTTTCTCTCTACTCTATTCTTCTCATCCCTTCTTCTTTAGCTTCTAATTAGAAGTAATTAAATCATTTTAATTGTGAAAATGCCTGGCATAGCTTTTGGACGTATAGATGATTCATTTAGCGTTGGGTCTCTTAAGGCCTATCTTGCTGAATTCATCTCCACCTTGCTCTTTGTCTTCGCCGGAGTTGGTTCTGCCATTGCTTACAGTAATAACTCTTCTAATCCTCTTCTTTATTAATTTAACTTTTCACTTACATTTTCGTAGTTAAATACACTGGCCGGTGTTACCACCGGAGTCAAATTTAGGGCGGGTTCTATAAAATTACATTACTTTCGACTCGAACTACTGATGTGCACTATAGAACATTTAGAATGTATTATACACGTAACACAACTATACTCATTCTAAATCCACTAACTTTCCTACATGAACGCGTTTGATAAACATGAAGAATGTTTCTATGCCTATGTAATTATATCTACATGGTATTTAATTTATCTTTTTTCACAATGAAAATATAGAAATGGGCCTCGGCGTAATTAGTAAAGTTACTGTCATGTGATTAGGAGGTAATGAGTTTAAGCCGTGGAAACAACCTCTTGCAGAAATGAAGTATAAGACTGCGTACGGTAGACTCATGTGGTCCGGCCCTTTCTCGGATTCCGCACATAGCAGGAGGTGCACGCACCGGCGGCACTTTTCACAATGGAAATATAAGATTCTGAAAATTAGTATCTTTTTTTTTTTGGAATATTGCAGACAAGTTGACAGCAGATGCAGCTCTAGATCCGGCTGGGCTAGTAGCTGTTGCAGTTTGCCATGGATTTGCTCTATTTGTGGCCGTTGCCGTTGGCGCTAACATTTCCGGTGGACATGTTAACCCAGCTGTTACCTTCGGATTGGCTCTCGGCGGTCAAATTACAATTCTTACTGGCCTCTTTTACACCATTGCTCAGCTTTTGGGTTCCATTGTAGCTTGCTTGCTCCTCAAAGTTGTCACCGGTGGATTGGTAAGTTGTAGTAGTATCTTGACACTAATACTCCCTCCGCTCCAACGCCCATTAAGAAAATACTAAATCCTATTCAAAATTACCTAGTATGACTAAACTACCCTTATTTAGTAAGTTAATGTGATGAGAGAGAAATTTTTTTAGGAACAATATGCACATAAGGGTAAAAGAGTAAAAACAAATTAAATTTTTTCTTGATTACCTAACTAGACACTTATTTTGGACCAAAATTAAAAAGTAAATTGGACACTTATTATGAACCGGAGGGAGTATATAGTAAAAAATTATTCAGTACAAAAAATATTTTATATTATCAGATCGCCTAAAAAAATTAATACCCTGATAAATATGATAGATTACCAGCTACAATTGATTCACTAATATATAGTAAAAAATTATTTACACTATCGATAGATATAAGTTAAATCATTCTTAAATACAAACTTTTGAAGAAGAAAAATAAAACTATTGTTCGTGGCTTCGAGCTACGTCCCAAATCCCAATTGTATTATAATGTTTGATTTGGAATTTAACTTGTATAAATTGACAAAGTAACTTTTTTTGTAACACTGTCGGATTAAAATTAAACTTTGTAATTTGCCTTAATTACTAGTCTTCTTATTTAATCTCATTTTTGAGGGATGATGCCTATTATTATCTTTGATGTTCTGACAGTACAAAAATTATTTTACAGTATTAGTGTATAAATGTTGGATTTGTTATTTTGCAGCCAATATTACATTTTTTAGGTCTCAACTATAATTTCTAACACTTGCTTTACACAAATAGCCGGTCGATTTGTTATTTATTTTTTTTTAATCGATATACATAAATTATATACTTATTAAATATGAATATATATATATATATATATATATATATATATATATATATATATATATATATATATATATATATATATATATATTTTTTTTTACCTTAAGCGATAGAGTGGACGGCTGGTTAATTTTTTTTATCTTTTATTATATCAGGCGGTTCCAACTCACAATGTGGCAGCTGGAGTGGGAGCTCTTGAAGGAGTTGTTATGGAAATTATTATCACTTTTGCTTTGGTATACACAGTATATGCAACAGCAGCTGACCCAAAGAAGGGTTCATTGGGTACCATTGCACCCATTGCCATTGGTTTCATTGTTGGTGCCAACATTTTAGCCGCCGGCCCATTCTCCGGTGGTTCAATGAACCCGGCCCGTTCATTTGGGCCTGCTGTGGCCAGTGGAGACTTCACTAACAACTGGATTTACTGGGCTGGGCCTCTTGTTGGTGGTGGATTGGCTGGTCTTACTTACAGCAACGTTTTCATGCAACACGAGCACGCACCTCTCTCCAGTGATTTCTAAGTAAAAAATTGTTTTGAGTTTGATTTTGTACAATAAAAAGGAAGAAAAAAGCAACATTAATTTTGCTCTTTCTTTCTTTTTGTTTGTTTGTTTGTTTTCCACTTTATCCTTTGTTGTTTGCTTTCCCTTTCTAGCTTTTGGGTTTGCAGCTGTACATTCATCTCTGGTCCAATGTTAATGTTTAAGTGGTGTTCGAATTTCGTGAAATCGCAATCATTTATTGTTATACACCTTTTTATTTTATTTTTTTGTCATTTCATCGTTGTTATCTTTAGCTCACACCCCCCGAAAAAAGGAGAAAAAGAAATCCCTTTTTTGTGACCATAAAATACGAAAGCAATAATTAAACTAAGCCGACAAACAACTTAAGCTTTTTAAAATGTCGAAGCTTTTTATCATGTAAGACTAGTACAAATCTTAAATTAATTAATTTGCTAACGACCTTTGACGTGTTCATCAAAGCATTTTTTTATAAAAACAAACCTCTTTTTGCTAATGATTTTTTTTAATTTAAAAGATGACTTTGTTTTCGACGTATTAATAAGATAAAGGTTGCTAAAGTTCGTCAGTTACAAAACAAGCTCTAGAGCTGAAGTTTTTGTTTTGTAACTGGCGAACTTCAGCTCTAGAGCTTGTTTTGTAACTGACGAACTTTAGCTCTAGAGCTGAAGTTTTTGTTTTGTAACTGGCGAACTTCAGCTCCGATCACTAGCCCTATCACGATCCCCATTCCAAATCTGAAGAATCCCAATATTGTGCTTATGAATCCCATCTCAAAATCTTCTGCAAGGAAACAGAACAGTCATTTTTGTTTTTACATTCCTACGTATAATGAAAGCAAAGATCTTTAGAATTAGTTACCAGAATCACCAAATATCAGCACACTTGGTTCAGCACACTTGCTACTTCAGTTCCGTATACTAGAATGCTGAAGTTTTGCGTGATTGTCTTTGCTACTTCAGCCCCGTATGCTGAAGTTACGCGAAAAAGTGGGTACGCATGCAATTTTTTTTGCAAAGCGGGCACAAGTTAAAACGTGACCCAAAAAGCGGGATTTGCATCTATACCCGTTTTTTGGGCCACGTTTTAACTTGTGCCCGCTTTGCAAAAAAATTTGCAAGCGTACCCACTTTTTCGCGTAACTTCAGCATACAGGGCTGAAGTAGCAAAGACAATCACGCAAAACTTCAGCATTCTAGTATGCGGGACTGAAGTAGCAAGTGTGCTGAAGTTTTTGTTTTGTAACTGGCGAACTTCAGCTCTAGAGCTGATGTTTTTATTTTTGTAACTGGCGAACTTCGTTTTGTTTTGTAACTGGCGAGCTGAAGTTTTTATTTTTGTAACTGACGAAGTTTTTATTTTTGTAACTGGCGAACTTCAGCTCTAGAGCTGAAGTTTTATTTTGTAACTGGCGAACTTCAGCTCTAGAGCTGAAGTTTTTGTTTTGTAACTGGCGAACTTCAGCTCTAAAGCTTGTTTTGTAACTGACGAACTTCAGCTCTAGAGCTGAAGTTTTTGTTTTGTAACTGGCACTTCAGCTCCGATCACTAGCCCTATCACGATCCCCATTCCAAATCCGAAGAATCCCAATATTGTGCTTATGAATCCCATCTCAAAATCTTCTGCAAGGAAACAGAACAGTCATTTTTGTTTTTACATTCCTACGTATAATGAAAGCAAAGATCTTTAGAATTAGTTACCAGAACCACCAAATATTAGCAAACTAGGGGGGTGTAAATTTCTGAGATTTAGAGGTACATGAAGATGAAATATATTATTAACATAATCAAGATTCAGAAGAAGAAAAGCAATAAAAGAGCATTAAAGAAATGGCATTGAACAACGACCACTCGAAAAGTCTGTGTAAACCGCACAATGTTAAGTGGCCTATCGGATTGAGGGCGGATATAACTTTGAGGAGGAGAATGAGGAGAAAGGGGGCTGAAGTTGTTTAAAATATGGGTACAAGTTAAAACTTTTAAAAAAAAATGAGTATAGGTTAAATGGCGCCCCGTGCAATATCTTCAAATTTCAGCCCAACACTAATGTTGCCTCGGAGCCCGCAAGTAGATTTCAGCCGCCGAACCCACCCGAAACCTCATGTGTTTATGGATTAGATGAGAAGACCATTAATTTGACCATTAATTAGAAAAAGTTACGCTAATTAAGCGCTAGAGGAAGGGCTTGAACCTTCGACCTTGTGGTTAACAGCCACACGCTCTAACCAACTCCAGCAATTGCGTTTCCCTTGTGGTTGCATATAAAATCAGATTTATTGTAATTCTATGTTAATGAGAAAATATTAATAATATAATCCTATACATAGCATAAAGATTATAATAAGGCCAACTTAACTCCTGCAACTATGAACTGGTTTAGTCTATCCGTTAAAAGTGAAAAGTCAATATTGTAAATACACATGCCTTTCACTCGATAGTAGGCGATGAGTAACTTATCATTTGAATTATTTTTAATCACATAAGCAAACCAAGATATTCATTTGAAACCAAAAGAGCAATGAACAATGAATTTTGTGAATAAGTTTTTCGCTATTACTTCTCATTAGATTCTGGATTGCGAGGTAATCCCAAAATTACAACTATATTTTGACATGTTTGTTCTAACTAATATTTGTTTGTTCAAAAAATATTGACACCTTTTTGGTTAAATCAATCAATAAAGATGAAGAGGTAAATCTCTGCCAAGTATAATAAAATCTAGATTAAATGATGTAAGAGAAGAACAAGATTAACGATGCTTCCTTGTATGTTGGAACCAAATGATTACTCATAAATATGATAACTCTAAATGCAGAAAAATGTTGCAATGAATGCAATTGACCAAAATAAGATGATGTATGGATTTCAGATCTGTATTTAGTAAGCAAAATTATCTTTTTTGTATTCACTTTCTCCCCCTTTTTACAGAGCGTTTTCCTCCTATTGATAAGGAACAATCTCCTTTCAAACCCTAAAAAGATACAACACAAAGAATATTCGAAAAACATATTCCTACTGTCTCCTACTACGCTGACACTACTGCAGACGTCGTGCGTTCGCTTAACCACTGTTGGTCGTCACCCTTTATAACGCCCAAAGGACGCTATATCGTAAGGACCTCGTTCCTCGTCACACTCGGCAATGGTCGTGGTCATCCAAATTTGGACCTATACAGTTAGTCCCTCCGCTTGTCGAGGTTGTGGCCCGACACGTCCTCGATAAGCGGACATCACCTATACCTGCGGAGAAATTTGGTTTGCGAATCATAATGGTTTGACCAATGACGGAAGAGCAGTGCGCTTCGCGATATCCTGGGTTGTGTGTCCTATCGGGAAATGATGTCACTTCCACGTGCGTCATCATTACGCGTCTTCCCGAGACAGAGACTGAGGGCTTGTCGCTTCAGTTTTGGTGCCACGGGCAGCCTTTCGCTTCGATTCTGGCGCCACCCACCTATAAATAGGTAAAGGGTTTGTTTTTTCAAAAAACTCTTGGTCATTTCTCCTCTGGTTATTCCCTCTCGTATCTTTAGCTTTATTTTTGCGATTTCTTAACTTCCTCTCTTCTGTTCATTGTTCTTGGTTTGTTTTGTTTCATTAACACATCTTCCTCCATAAATATGCCTAGAACACACCGGTCATGTGAAGGGATTTCTGACGCCACCCCGTTATCCATGGTGCTTCCTTTTGGTGGTGAGGACACGATGGCGGGGGAGGGGGACAATTTTCCCACCGTAGATGAGTTGTTACCGAGACACCCTATGTCTCGAAGTGACTTTCTTAAAGATCCTGCTCCTACTCCCGTTTCGGTAGTGTCTGAAACCGAGCAGGCCCATATAGATGCCCTCCGCACTAAGTATAGCATTCCTCCTCATGTCGAGATGGTTCCGGCGGGGAGGGACTTTGTGGAGGTCCATAGACCGGGGTATTGTGCTTTTTACGAATAACCCTTTGTAATTGGTCATTCCTTCCCCCTTCTCTCGTTAGCGGAAGAATTTTGTCGGTTTTATCAGGTTTGCCCGGCGCAGCTTTCTCCGTATACGTATAAAATATATTTGGTGTTGACAAAATATGCGGAGTTGGCAGGGTGCGAAGTTGACATCCACCACCTCTTGCACTTGTTTTCCCCTAGTTTTCACAGGGGTACTATGGTCATTTGAGGCACCGTGGGACCAAAGGGCTGGTGGTCGGAATTGATGACCGGGCGAGCCGTAAGTTTTGGCACAAGTATTTCTTCGTCAGAACTGAACACATTGTGTCGGACCCCGCTGGATTCCCGGAGCGGTGGAATGATAATCGTAGGTGTCGCAACTTGTTTACTCTCTCTTTTTTCTTTGTTGTGTTCAACTTAGTATTTATCTGCGGCTTTCTTTTGCAGCTATGGGGCGTGTACCCTGTCCCATTGCCGGTATAAGGTACTGGGTAGCCCGTTTACTGCTTCACGCAATGGAGACCCGAGACTGGCCTGCTTTTGTGAAACGTTTTGGGTCGAATGTCTCATCCGGTAAGTGTCTTCCTCTGTACCGCTCTTCGGCTATTTGCCATTATCTATTGATACGACTCCTTGTGATGACAGGTCATGGAGCTTCTAGGCGGAGGGCCCCAGTCCCTGCATTTCTCCAGACCGTCGCCTCAGCGGGAATGGAATTTACTTTGGAGGAATCCGTCCGAGAGAGTCGTGTTCAGCTGGTGCAGGCGGGAGACTCCTCTCGTGATATGGTTGTGAGGGAAGAGACCTCCTCTTTACCGGTCTATCACCTCGTGGATGAGTCCTCTTATAGGGACGAACCTCCGTTGAGAAAAAAGAGGAGGGTAGAGCTCGGGAAAGAGGTGGCTGTTGATACTGGCAAGAGCGGGCCGGGTGCGTCGGAGACGGCACCTGGGCCCGCATTTATGGCGGACGCCGGGGAGGTCTCCCCGGACAGAAGGGGTATACCAAGGAGGGGGGTCTGTGCGTTCCGCTGAGGGTGGCGCATCATCTACTGTCGGAGGGGGCTTATGCGCTAAGGGCGACGGCTCGGGTTCGGACGTCGACCTAGGGGATGTTCCAGAATTTTCGGAGCGTCACACTCGCGTAGAGGTTAGAACGGAGGGTTCTGATCGACACATAGTTATCCCCGAGGACTACGACTTGCTGTCGAACTGTAATTAAGCGGTGTCCGTTCTTGCCCCTTTATGTGCTACTCCTGAGAGTGAGGCACTTAGAGCGATGAGTGATGTAGAGTTGTCA